CCCCCCCCCCATGAGTCTGTGTGTTGTCTTTATGCTTTTTCTCAGTCCCACCAGTGAGTGCTTTCTTTCACCTTTCCAATTCATTGTTCTGTAGTCACTTCATCATTTGACAATGTATAGTTTGAGCTATGGAGAGCATCCTTAAACCATAAAAGGTTAAAGCTATCCCTGTTACAGGCCTGTCATGGTTCCCACATTTTCTAGACAACCAGCTTACAGGTGGTGGTGAGGTTGTCAGCCTTACACACTGACAGGCTATCCTTTACCCTCAGGAAGATTCCTGGTACTCATTTCTGTTAGAGGCCAAGTCGGCCCCAGGGCAATAGTGCGGCTGGAAGGATTAGGTCAGTTGAAAACTCCAGTCACCGCATGGTTGGTTACTGGGCCAGGTAGGTATGTGCTAAAATTAGAGATGTGTTTGCTTGTGCAGGCTATCGTGATGCACAGTGTGGGTGGCTTGAAGTGCAGGAGGAAACAGGACGTGGTGGCGTCAGTTCCAGAAGTGCTCCTCTGCCACGGACGGCACTTTTCCTTGTCATCTATGAACCTAAGCAAGGTGTCATAGAGATATGGGCTATGCAGCAGGGACCGAGAGTTGCCAAGTTCACAGCCAGCAAAAGTGGAAGGTGACAGTGACAAAGCTTGTTCATAACAAGAGAACCAACATGTTTGTTTAATTTCAGCATTTTGATGTGTTGAAGTTCTGTTTCTGGGTACATTGCACTTGACGTCTTTAGGTGGAATGAGGCAGAAGGACAATGCAGCACGCAAGATTTCATTTACTGTTTGTCGTTTGTGGACACTGTTATCTAAACAGTGATGGCATCATGGGAAAAATGGTAGACATCTGTGGACATGTGAAAGAAGATGCAGTGACTTAATGTCAGTAAATAAAGTTGTGTAATTTTGCAGTCATTGGGCTCAAATTTTTAGTCATGGACAAGTAAATGAATGGGTATGTTGAGCCATGGCCACAGTACAGAAAAAAGAATAAGATTCTAATTTTTAAAAATTTTGAATGAGCATCCTTTTGATATGAGGAACATGATTTTTGCTGCAGGTTCTAATTATGTGTGTTAGCTTTACCATCCACTGCATAAGCTCCAGTCCAGCCTCTCCCTGTGCGCCCCAAGCTTGATTCCTGTTTTCAGAACCGTGTTGCATTTGTCCAGAATTGTGAGCATTCTGGTGCTGTGGGTTATAACAAGAAAGAGCGCCACTAAGAGTGGTCAGCATTATGTTCTGACAGCTGTGAGGCAGGTTAACATTAAATTCATTAATGGCATTGTAGTAACACCCAAACAGTTACGTATATTATGTTGAAATATTTTGTGCTTTCTGCTAGACTTTTGGTGTTTGTAACTAAGTTCATGGAGCAGAATCTGTCTGGAGGAGCTAATAGTCACTCAACTAGTCAAGAAATATGCCAATGTTTATGGAACCCAGAGGTTCAAGAGTCTACCGCTGAATCCTCTCCAGTCATAGACCCTCCGAAATCTTCCATAAAAGCAGGGAATTTTTTGACCAGTCAGAAACCGTGAACTCTTAAGGAAAGACTTTAAAAATAATGCTAGTTGATAGATTCTCTGTTTAAGTTTGTTTGCAGGCTACTTTCTGTTAAGTTTTCCTATTCACTCATATTCTTCATGTTTTCAGGCTTCTGCACATGGGTCATGGTTTCATGGGTCTTGATAACAACCCCTTGGAAGGTGGCAACAAGTCTCAGTTCTCTTGTGTTTTTGTTGATCCAGGTGGCTTAATAAAGGAGATCTCTGTACCCTTCCACTTTGCACTTAGGTATGTATTTATATTTCTTTTATTTGGTTTGTCTTATTTTAGTTTCTGTCATGTTGGTGTCAGTGAAGTTTGTAATACCTCTTAATGATTTTGATTTTCATATTCACTCAGGAATGTGATGTAACATTGAATGAATGAATGCATAGGGGGTAGCCCTAGCTGACCCTTCCACCATGACCTTAGCCTTCTGTTTCAGCCCATCAGCAATCCTACACTTCAAATGAAGTGTAGTATTTTATTTACAGTGGTATCTTGGCACTAAGCACAAGCACAGCACAAGCCATCTGCGAGACCTAAGACGAAACATTAAAATATTAAAACTCCACACACATGAGGTCTAGCACCAGAGAACTATCAGAATAGAAGTCGTCACTGGAGCAAAAAATTCCCCATATGGTACCAACAAGAAAAACATATATTTTCACACTCACTCTGAACTGGATAGAGTTGTAGTTTTTTTACTTCTGCTGTGATAACAGAAGTCCAGATGGGAGAGATGTCCAAGCTGGATTGATTGATCAGATGGTCTCTCAGAGAGACATGGGTGAATTCCTGGTATTTCCTGTATGTGGTGTTGGGCTCAATCTGCAAGACCTTCGCTTCATTGCAACATTTTGTGGCCTTCCTCATATGCATGTTGGGCTAATTCTGATTCTTCAAGCAAACCCTGAGTCATGTTATATTTGTGTTCCTTAATGCATACTTCTAGTCGTCTGCTTGTTTCACCAATGTAATTTCTGCCGGAGTCGCATGGGATATTGTGCACACACTTTTAGATAAAAATAGGATGATAGATAATGTCCAGAAAGATAATATTTGTATTAATGTACCATCATCACAGACTTTTGGATCTTACTTCATTTGTTTGTTTGTCATCGAGTATTCTCTGTTACAGTGACAAAAACAGTAAAAGAACAAGGGACCTTCACTTACTGAAGAAACTGAAGGCGTTCCTGAAGGAAAATGACTATGATAATGACAGATTGATTGAGGAGGTGCAGAAGAGAATGCAGGAACTGAAAACCAATGACATACGCACTCAGGCTATTGACATGCTTTCAACTAGTAAATATATTACTCCCGATGCTCTGGAAGTTGCGTTGAACATTGTTGTTGATAAGTTGACTTCCCAAGGTAAGTTACTGCTGGAAGTATGTATTCTGTTCATTCATTCTTGGTTTAGTTCATGACATTTCCACTTTCTGAGGTTATATAGTGCTGAATGCTTTATTGGCGAATAATGAGCTTTAAATGAAGTGGAAGTGATTGTGCATGATTTAAGGTACTATTATGGAATCTGCGTGAAGGGGCTCAGGACAACCAAAATAATGTCGAGTTAGGATAGTTGGTCTCTGGGACAAGATGTGAGATTTGAACCAAGGGCCTCACATGTGGGAAGGTTGAATATGGTCTGGAATCTCATATACAGAGTGGGATTTGTTAACCATATGACTGCAACATTCAGTGCTTGAGGTTGTGTGGTAGTATAGTTTAGTTTTTAGGGACAAATTATGTCTGGCTAAATGAAAGATACTCTTTTGTATGGTGCACAGGGGCATCTGTAATATTCTGAATCATTGCGACCAGTATTGTCATGAAGTTTCACACAGAAATCCAGAAGCATTGGTTTAGAAATGTTGCACTTCATATGAAACAAGTTGTCACACACTTCTGGTGTGTCCCCAGCTTAAAGTTAAAAAATTCTTCTGTTAGCTCTGCCATGTCTTTCTGTCCATTTACAGACATCAGCTTGAGAAGAGCCAGACAGATTTTTTATGAAATTTTATATTGTGTAGTTGTACTTACATGCATTTCAGTATAGGTTAAAATTGGACAACAATAGACACCTTACATAAAGACTGACATGCATTTCTGTGTGCATCTCAGACCTAACTTGAAATATTAGAGCAGAAGTGTTAAACAATCATTATAGAGAAAAATGAAATGTTATATGCCCACTACACTTTTCTGTAATTCTTACAACTCTTGAGGTAATTAAATAAAAGGGAGGAATTTCACTAGAATTGTTACATTATGTGTACATTTTCCAAATTGTAGGTCTTATTTAACCCGTTGCCGTGGTTCGTCGTGTATGTTTCGTCAGGGATTTAAATCGTCTGGGGGGGTTCGACGTGTATGTTTCGTCCAGCTGCACACGTATGTTATAACGCCCATAATAATTGATGGTTTTGCTGTAGATTGTTAGATTTTTCACTGGCCTGTTGTCAGGAGGACTGTATTTAATGACACACGCGTTTAAGAGCGCTAAGTCGTCGTTACATATGCCTGTCTTGCAGCAACGTTCCTGTGGCTATTGCGAGCTGTTTCTGTTATGAATGATGTGTTTTGTTTGCTCTGAAGCTATAAACACCAGAGACTGATATGTGCTGGTGTTTATAATATCATATTGCCCTGAGCTGGCTATTCAATTGGAATTCTTAGAAGAGGGATGTACAAAAGTTTATGCCTGCAAAATCGATTGCTTTCGCACAGTACATAGCACCCATTTCTTAGAAAAACGCCACATTTTAAGGCAGAACACTGTGGTCACCCCCTGAGACGATACGGATGTGTGTGGGGGAGGGAAAAGAACTCATTCCTTCGCTCATTATCGCTCCAGTTGACTCCATTTTATCGTACTGACCTTGGTGGTCGTTTCGAGGGATGACCATAAATATTTTTTTGAGCCAGCTAAGCTCTACTTTCGTTCACTACATACCAGACAGTTCTTAGAATAACTTCATGAATTCTGTGGTCACCCCTACGACATCTCCTGCCGCCAAAATGGATGGAATATCAAAGGCATAGCAACAACCCCTTGTTATGATAACTCGTAACGTTGAATTTACTACAGCTGACCTGGCAACTAAACGGGTCACGGAAAGACATTTCCTTGAAGTATACCCCTCACGGGTAAGAAGGCAAGGCCGCACATATGTGTGGTTAAAAAAAAGGGCCAAAAAAAATACACAATATTGGAGCGGAGAATGGTGAACGTGGGGCACCGTTGGGTTATACGAATGCTTCAAGGCCTTCCTTCTACTAAACCAACTGCCTCCATTACCGAGATACAGGGCGCTCATATTATAAGGTAAGGTTATAAAACCACCATTTAAGATCATTTTAGTGAAAGTTTCATGTTCCTATCTCATAGAATTTAAGAACAATGATGAATAAATAATTTTCGAGCAAAATTTAAATGGCCGGCTGAATATATTACCGCAGGAGCCGCGGCCGCGGAATTTAAATGACCACGTCAAAGGGTTAACATACCCAGTGACACATTAAAATCGTTTTTATTTGATGTAATAATTAGTTCATTGCACATTTTTCTATGACTGTGCGATAAGTGGGCACCTGTTGTGGAGTTGTACTGTGGAACTCCCATGTGAAAGTGAAAGTGAAAGTGAAAGTGAAAGTGTAATCTTCCACAATTTGTCATTTTGTCTCATTAAGCATTCACTTCAAATGGTATGAAGTCCATAAATTTTCTCCATTAAGGATTTTTTCTATTTAATGTTCAAATCCTTTTCTCCCAGAACAGACTTTTAAGTGGGAATTCACAGAACTAAAACAATGCTTCACACAAGATAATTGATAAGCAACAGTGCTAGGTCTTATAGATGCTGAAAATGGTGACAGTGAGGCAGAGTGACACAAGCATTGTATGGTAAGAAGTTTTACGAGAGCCCCGTATGGAGATGCTGGCATATTGGTGCTATTAGCCCACAACTGTTTCCCAAATCCTTACCATTTCATCTGCCATCCTGTCATTCAGTTGTTGAGGTCACTGCCAAGCAACTGCTAGTGAAGATGTGACTGTGGACGCTAGTGTGTGTACATGCATGAGCGCATGCAGCTGCATGTGTTCACCCACACGTGAAGTGTAATCATGTGCTGTATCAAAGAGTCCAATAAATCCAATGATCAATCCAAAACCCATCTATAGCCACACTCATACAGGTGACAATATTAAAACTATGATGTAACTCATTCAAAGACAATGAGAAATGAATTTAATGGGATTTAATACCCTGTAATCCAGTAAATATGACATTTTTAGAGGAGCCCACTACCTCCATCTTCAGCACTAAAGAGTTGAGCCAATCAAGTAAGCAGCAAGCAAAACTGTGCTCACTGCCTGCTGCTTGGTGGTTACCTGATTGGCCTAGTCTTCAGTGCTGAAGATGGAGGCAGTACATTCCTATAGAATGTCAGTGACTTTCTACTGGACTCTTTGGCATTATGTCTAGGGAGACAGAGAGTGCTCTGCATTATCACTGCTATGGGAACCTCAGACCCAGTGTTAAGAAATGAATTTGACTTCTTACCTGTGTATGTTCCTCAGATGCTGAGTCAGTGGATCACAGCAGTAAAACGTTGCTACACATGGCACAGCAGTTGCAGAGGCTCGTGTCTTTCTATCAATTTATTCGCCGAGAGCATCAGATACCCCCCACGTACAGCACCGTTGTTGCTGACAACCTCAACTCACCACAGGTAGGCCCTCGCACCAGTTCAAATTGTTGTCATCTTACAACATGTGAAGATTGCCTGTCTTCATGCAGAGAAGTGCTCAGACTGTTTCGTTCTTTATGCTTTTCTTATAGTTGAAAGTTTCAGTTGTGTTTACTTCATTGCTGTATCTGTATCCAGAGGTATTCTGTGAAGTTCAGTATTGTGACATGACTCCTGAAAGCTGGAAGAGTGAAGTCAGAAAAGTTATAATTAATTTTCATTACATGCATCCTGCTGTGTTACAATATATACAACTTATTTATTTGACTGTCACAATACAACAGTAAAAGAACTTCAAGGACAATGCCCAGATATAGTTCTGCTACATGTTTCGGCCACTAGTGGCCATCATCTGGCAAACACACTTCAATAAACGTACACCACTGAACTGCAGTATGCAAAATTTGATACAGTGTCATAAATCATTTAAGATAATTTGCAATAGGAATACAATAAGTAGGTTATTTAAAACCAATAAAAGTCATATATAAAAAAACAAATTAAAATTTGATTGATGTTTTTTAACATCGAATCAGTCGTTGGTTCCACTTTACATACGTATCCGTCGACAAATAGTAAATTTCAGTGTTTCATTATAAAATTGTATGGGAGGCCCAATAATAAATGGAATAGTTGGAGCCTCATCATACGGAGAATTGTACGTAATGTATGGGAGGTATTTGTGGTTACAACGCGTGAGTATCCAATAGTGCAAAATACAGATTAGTGACATCCCTCATATCCGATTTAAACAAAATCTGAAGAATGTATGGGATGCATGGAAACTGCTTATGGCCATATTGAAACCAGGCTGTTTTATGAATCAGTATGGCTCAAGATCAGAATTACCAGCTTTCAGTGAAAGTGCCAGTGTTGAATTTGAGCAAAATCTGTGAAATAGAGTGTGAGGTAATGGAGAAGTCTGTTTATGGTCATGTATAAACCAAGCTTTATTATGAATAATTTTGGTTAAAAGCTGAAATTGCTGGACAACTTTTGGAGAAAGGCTGCTACACTGAATTTCAACAGAGTCTGTGAAATATATGAGAAGTGCGGACAAGCCCACTTATAACCTTATTTAAAGTGGGCTTTATTATGTAAAATGTGGCTGAAGGAAAGCAGAATTGCTCATTTTCTTACATTGTGAGGATCACCTAAAAACTGCAAGCGTCGGTGCCATGTTACGAAACATAACACAGGGAGTGGAGGTAATCCTCTGTGAATTCTGAACTTTAATACAAGATGGAGGTTAGTAGTGAGCTTCAGGCTGCGGTTGCTTTATTCCTGATGTGGGAACATCTGGTACTCAATGGCTGAGAAGTGGCATAGGTCTCAGAGCTGGTTTGGACATCTTGGCAAAGAAGAATATCCTTCCTCCTGCCAGCCCATTGAATTGAATTGAATTGAATTTATTTACATTCTATAAATCCTAAGCAGGTTAGTACCTTTGGATACAGAACAAGTCAAAATGTTACATACATAAGTACAGGCAATTTTAGCTTAAAAATTATTATAACTTAATTTTACATCATTCTCTATTTACATTGAAGTATTCATCTAAAGAGTAGAAGGAATGAGCATGTAGATAATTCTTTAACTCTGATTTAAACTTTTTAGTATCATTGCCCAAGTTTTTAATACTTTGTGGCAGATTGTTGAACACTTTTATGCCAGTAAAGTAGACTCCTTTTTGATATACTGATAAAGTTGATGAGGGTAGGTGGAAGTTATATTTTTGTCTAGTATTCA